TCGATGCATTAATAAAACTAGACCTTTTGGTTTATGTTTTAAGTTGTCAAATATGATGGCTCTACAGGGGCTGAATATAAAAGTATTTGTACTTTTAAAAATAACAATAACAAGCCAGGTGCAGTGGCTCACGCCTGTACTACCAACACTTTGGAAGGCCAAGGCCGGTGGATCATGAGGTCAAGAGATCAAAACCATCCTGGCCAACATAGTGAAACCCTATTTCTACTAAAAATACAAAAATCAGCTGGGCATGGTGGTACACGCCTGTAATCTCAGCTACTTGGGAGGCTAAGGCAGGAGAATCACTAGAATCTGGGATACAGAAGTTGTAGTGAGCAGAGATCTTGCCACTGCACTCCAGCTGGTGTCAGAATGACTCCATCTCAAAAAAAAAAAAAAAAAAGACTATGAAATTTTGTGACATTCTTACCTTTGAGAATTGGGGTCTGTGTCCCACCCTTTGAATCAGCTTCAGTGAGTAGAGTAGGGTGGAAATGGTGATGTGTGACTTTTAAGAGGACATACCGCTTTTTTTTTTTTTTTTTTTTTTAAGACAGAGTTTCACTCTGTCGCCCAACCTGGAGTGCAGGGGTGTGATCTCGGCTTACTGCAACCTCCACCTCCTGGGTTCAAGCAATTCTCCGTCTCAACCTCCTGAGTAGCTGGGGCTACAGGCGTGTGCCACCACGCCTGGCTAATTTTTGAAATTTTAGTAGAGACAGGGTTTTACCATGTTGGCCAAGCTGGTCTTGGTAGAGATGAGGTTTCACCATGTTGGCCAAGCTGGTCTTGGTAGAGATGAGGTTTTACCATGTTGGCCAAGCTGGCCTTGGTAGAGATGAGGTTTCACCATGTTGGCCAGGCTGATCTTGAACTCCTGACCCTAAGTGATCTGCCCATCTCAGCTTCCCAAAGTGCTGGGATTACAGGCGTGAGCCACCACACCCAGCCCAAGGCCATACAGCTTCTGCCTCGTATGCGGGACATGCTCAGATCTCAGGGCCACCATAGAAGAAATCCAAGCATGCTGAGGAAGCCACGCCGCACAGGAGGGCACCTGTGTGCATGCCAGCTGACAAGTCCTAATTGCCAGGTTATTGCAGGCCCAATTACGGGTACATGATTGCAACTGCTAAGTCCCTTCCCTGCAGAGGTCCCAGAAGTTAAGGAACAGGGGAAAGAAAGTCAGCCCTGTCATGGCCACCTTCGTTCCTGATCCCTGGAATCCTTGCACATTGTCAAACGGCTGTGATATTAAACCCCAAGTGTGCGTGTGTGTTTTGTGGGAGGTGTCATTTATAATACAGCAGGCAGAACTGAAACAGACAATAGACAGCTTCTGCCCCATTTCCTCCACCACAGGCCTGCAGCGACACACGCTGGCTGCACAGCCTCTTCTATGCAACTATCACAGTAGCATGGTCTTTGTACCGCCACCTCAACAGCACCTTCGGAAGTGCCCTTAAGCATGCCAGGGACACATATCATGCAGATCTTGGGCAGATGACCAAACCTCTCTATGCCTCGCTTTCTTCATCTGCAAAATGGGAACAACGATAATATTGAGAGAACAAAATGAAATTAATTCGCATAAAGCTCTCAGAACAGAGTCTGGGACACAAGTGTTAGCTACCATTGTTACCCATCCTGGCATCTGTCCTCTCTGAGAGGGGACAGGGCAGGGAGGAGGACAAGGGGGAGAAGGAAAGAGCCTGAAGTTCCTGGGTCCCCAAAAGCAGCAGCAACCTCAATAGCCAGTCCCTGGAGAAAAGAGGAGCTCTGGGCCTGCAGGAAGGTGCAATTGTCCTGGCTACCCCTTGCCCCCTCATGGCCAGCACCTCCTTAGATGCAGGTAGCTCAGACAGAGGTGTGTTTCCTGATGCGGGTCCCATCCTGGCCTCTGACTTTGCTGAACACTGCCCTCTCCTGGAGCTGGGGGCAGTCCTACTCAAAAAGGGATGTGATGAGTCACAGCTTGGAGGGATTCAAACTATGGCTTTCACACTGCAGATCCTGACTCATCATGAATCAAGATTGACTTTTTGGCGGGGCGCGGTGGCTCAAGCCTGCAATCCCAGCACTTTGGGAGGCCGAGACGGGTGGATCACGAGGTCAAGAGATCGAGACCATCCTGGTCAACATGGTGAAACCCCGTCTCCACTAAAAAAAAATACAAAAATTAGCTGGGCATGGTGGTGCATGCCTGTAGTCCCAGCTTCTCGGGAGGCTGAGGCAGGAGAATTGCCTGAACCCAGGAGGCGGAGGTTGCAGTGAGCCGAGATCGCGCCATTGCACTCCAGCCTGGGTAACGAGCGAAACTCCGTCTCAAAAAAAAAAAAAAATTGACTTTTTAAAAAAATGAAATAGATTTAAACATGCAGTGAAGGCAAGTGGTGGTTCACTAAGTGTGTGTATGCACGCACACACACTCAGGTACAATGGTGGAAAATGAGTTCCTCACTGTGGATCATGAGTCAGAAGTGTTCAAAATCACTGAGAGAATTCACTTTTGTTGTTTTTTTGAGACAGGATCTTACTCTGTTGCCCCGGCTGGAGTGTAGTGGTGCGATCTTGGCTCACAGCAGCCTCAGCCTTCCGAGTAACTGGGACAACAGGTGCCACCGCAACCTCTGCCTCCTGTGTCCAAGCAATTCTCCTGCCTCAGCCTCCCAAGTAGCTGGGACTACGCTACCCAAGTAGCTGGCACACGCTACCATGCCCAGCTAATTTTTGTATTTTTAGTAGAGACGGGGTTTCACCAAGTTGGCCAGGATGGTCTCCATCTCTTGACCTCGTGATCTGCCCACCTCAGCCTCCCAAAGTGCTGGGATTACAGGCATGAGCCACTGTGCCCAGCCAATTTTTGTTTTTTTTTTTTTTTTTTGGTAGAGATTTTGCCATGTTGCCCAGGCTGGTCTTAAACTCCAGGGCTCAAGGAATCTACCCACCTCAGCCTCCCATAGTGCTGGGATTACAGGCAGGAACTACTGTGCCCAGTCCTAGCATGTATTTTTATAATCAGGAAAAAAATTAGCAAAGATCATAAAGCTTTATTTAATAGATATAACCCAGCAATTCAAAATACTTTATTCCATATGTAGCCAATTAGAGAAAAAAAGGAGATAGAAGCAAATGTTGGAAGAGATTAAGTGAAAAGATCAAGATAAAACAAATCAGAAAAGGAAGGAGGTTGGGGAAACCAGCAAGAGAAAGGAAAATAACAAAGGTAGGTGGAGGGGAGAGTGACGCTCGGGGCCAGGAGACCCTATAAGTGCCACCTTTTGTGACTCACATTTCACAGGTCACTAGGGTTTAATTCCTCCTTGGCAATAAAGTGTGTCTACTTTTTTTTTCTTTGATCATTTGATGGTGGGCATTTTTCTTCCTATAAACTTTTATTTGCTGGACAGTCAATTGTAAGCTCTATTAGGAAATTGTGTGTGTGTGTGTGTGTGTGTGTGTGTGTGTGTGTGTGTGAAATAGGGTCTTGTTCTGTTGCCCAGGCTGGAGTGCAATGGAGGGATCACATTTCACTGCAGCCTCTGCCTCCCAGACTCAAGCAATCCTCCCACTTCAGCCTCCAGAGTAGCTGGGACTACAGGCATATGCCACCACACCCAGCTAATTTTTGTACTTTTTATAGAGAGTGTTTCACCATGTTATCCCAGCTGGTCTCAAACTCCTGAGCTCAAGGGATCCAGCCTCCCATAGTGCTGGGATTACAGTCATGAGCCAACACAACCGGCCTCATTTAACTTTTCTGAATAGACTGTAAGATCCTCAAGGGGCTCCATTTTTTAACCAGGTCTTAGTATTTATCTGCCACTCAAAAGTCTTTGTTTCAGAGATGGAGTCTGGCTACACTGTCCAGGCTGGCCTTGAATTTCTGGTCTCAGGTGCACAGTTCTTAACACCTTTGGGACAGATTCGGATGACTCGGAGGCCCTAAATCTCCCATTGAGGAATGGGACGAAGTGGTCAGCCAAACCTCAGCCTCCAAAGCATATGGGACTATAGATGCATACCACGATGCCCGGCTTTTTTTTTTTTTCTATTGAAATATTAGGTGGCTCTGGCTAGACACAGTGGTTCACGCCTGTAATCCCAGCACTTTGGGAGGCTGAGGCAGGTGCATCACAAGATCAGGAGTTCAAGAACAGCCTGGCCAATGTGATGAAACCTTGTCTCTACTGAAAATATAAAAAAACTTAGCCGGGTGTGGTGGTGCATGCCTGTAGTCCCAGCTACTTGGGAGGCTGAGGTACAAGAATTGCTTGAACCCAGGAGGCAGAGGTTGTAGTGAGCCAAGATCATGCTATTGCAGTCCAGCCTGGGCAACAGAGCAAAACTCCATCTCCATGCCTCAAAAAAAAAAAAAAAAAAAAAAAAAAAAAAGAAAAGAAATATTAGGTTGCTCTCTTCTGATGCCTCCAGATCACATTTGATTATAGCAGTTATTTTTCAGACCCACAGGGAAAGGACAGGAGAGTCAGATCTGATTGTGGGGCTAACATGTGATAATAACAAAGAAATCAACAAACCAACTTTCAGGAAAGCATTTTGGGGCCCTAAGGATGTACACTTTGCCCTGATAGTGGAGCAGGTGAGCCCTGGATGAGCCACGTGGTGACGGGGCTTCTGAGGAAAGGGCTAGAAATGTGTTTGGACCACAAGGAGGGGACTTGGCCCCTCGCTCTGGCCTCTGGAAGCCTGACCAACACCTTCACAGACAGTAATGGTCCAAGACAGGTGTGTGCACTACAGCAAGTGTGGGGCATTGTGGGGACCACCCAGCAAAACTGTGGGCATGGGCGGCACAGGGCCACACTAGCCTGGGGCTGACTCCTCATGGGCCATCCTGGGAACAATTCTAATTTCTTAAAAGAGAAAATCTTTTAAAAATATTTGCAGAAACGAGTTGGACCTGAGGCTGCGTGGAGCCTCCCCGACGGGTTCCGAGGAGTGGTGACAGCATGGAGTCCAGTCAGAAGCTCACATTTGTCCACTCTTTATTAAAGCCAGACCCTCTTGCCAATGGCTGGCGGCAGCTGCTGGGGCCCAAGAGGGACAGGGGCAGTGGCAGATCCTGGCCATATAGGGGTAGAGCTGAGATTCCCAGAGCCCCCCAAGCCCACCTTGCCTTTGGCCCTTTCTGAGGCTCCTGTCCCACAGGGAGAGGAGAAATCCAGGGCCAAGGCCATTACCCAGCACCCTGATGCCTCCCTGGGACCCCACCCTCCTCACCACCCCACCCCACCACCTCACCCAGCCAGGTTAACTCTGACCACCACCACCCAGGCCCTCTTCCCACCCACCAACTACTGTGCCTCCTACCCGCCCCCAGCCCCTGGAAGCCTGGCTGCTGGGCTCAGCCCCCAAGGCCATGTCTACACTAACATGGAAGGAACTAGGTCTATCAGGAAATGCAGCTGCACCAAAAATCCGTTTCCTGCCCCCACTCACAGTGGCCCAAAAAGCATGAGGAGAGGAGGGCCTCACATGAACTACACCCCAGCTGCCTGCCCAGTGGCTTCCATGGGCCCAGTCCAGAGGGTGGGGCTCCCACCAGGCAGGGGTCTTGCATAGTTGGGTGCCTGGTTTGTCACTGAGCCAAGGCTCAGGTCCACACCCCCCAGAGGTGGACTGCCACTGTGAAAACTGCCAGGCCATGAGTGCCTCCACTGACCAATCTGTGAAATGAGACACTAAACAGAAACACTACTTGTTCTAGTGTAATGACAGAAACAGAGTTAAAAGGACCTGAAGGTGTCCTAGGGCCCAAATTACGGGATATGCGGAAAGATCCTTCCACCAACCTCAGTGACTCTATACTAAGTGAGTGTTGGGCTCCATGGACGGGGTGTCCGCCTGCTCCATTCGCCCGAAGGCCCGGCGAACACGGCCTTTCACCCAGAGAAGTGAAAGCTGAGGCTCAGGGTTGTGAGGACCTCGGGCGCCCGAGGATATCTGAGTTTGCCACCTCCGGCTGAAGGAGGTGAAAGTACCAAAGGACTGAGAGGGGAAGCGGAGACCAAAACCGAACCGGCGGCCGCCTGGCTGACCTAAGTGCTAGCGTGGGGAGAGGAGAGCAGGCGGCTCCAGAGAATAAGGCTTCAAACCCCCTCGGGACCCTGTCAACACCAGCGACCCGTCCGCCGGGCCGTAAGTTTGGTAACTGGCTCTTTCTCCTCCTAGATTCTTCAGGTCATACAAAAGATGGAAATAAATATCCGCAGACAAGATTCAAGTTTTCCCATGGGAGCTCCGCCCTCTGGAAACCTACAAGGCCTCCCCTCGCGCTCGCAGTTCTTAAAACCTTCGGGACAGACTCGGATGACCGGAAAGCCCTAAATCTCCCACTAAAAAAATGGGAAGAATTGATCAGCTAAACCCACCGGCCTCCCAGGCATCCCGCTGGCCCACGTGGGTGGCCGGGCCCCACCCTCCTGTGGCTCAAGGGCTTCCCCTCCCTCGCTGCCACACCAGATTACCAACACACAATTCCCTTGCTCCGCGGGCCACCTAAGTCGGAATCTGAGTGAAATAAATAGCATCGCCCACCAACGACCGCCCTGCTTCACAGCCCAGGCCCACCCAGGGAATATTGTAGTCTCCATGGGGGTGGCGCCCCGGCCTCGCTGCCTCTGCGCTGCTCTTCAGGTCTCTGGCCGAGCTCAGGGACTCAGCGGGCGGGAGACCCGGGGCCGCGGGGCGGAGGCTGAGGGAAGGCACCGCACCCAGGACTGGGACCCTCAGCACCCCCCGGGGCCGCAGAAGCAAGAGGCCGGCCGTCCAGAGGAGGGGCCAGTGGCCCAGAGGGCTGCGCTGCTGTCGGCCCCGGACCCCTCACAGGACGCCCTCCCGATAGGCGCCCGAAGGCCCGGCGAACGCGGCCTGATGCTCCGAGCCGAAGCTCGTGCCGCCCGCGAACTCCAGCAGGGCGCTGCCGCGCTCCCCTGGGCCGGCGCTGGGTGGCCCCTTGGCGGGCGCCTCGGGCTTAGACGCAGGGGCCGGGGCTGAACCTGAGCCCGGCGCGGAAGCGGCGCCGCGGTGCGTCTTCATGTGGGTGAGCAGGTGCGAGCTCTGCGAGAAGCGGCGACCGCAGTTGGCGCAGGCATAGGGCCGCTCGCCCGTGTGCGTGCGCTGATGCGTGACCAGCACCGAGCGCTGCGAGAAGCGTTTGCCGCACTCGGGGCACGGGAACGGGCGCTCGCCCGTGTGGCCGCGCCGGTGCTTGGCCAGGTTGGAGCGCTGCGCGAAGCCACGGCCGCAGTCGGCGCAGCGGAAGGGCTTCTCGCCCGTATGCGTGCGCCGATGCCGCTTGAAGTCCGAGCTGTGGCCGAAGCCCTTGCCGCAGTCGGGGCAGCGGTGTGGCTTCTCCTCCGCGTGCGCCCACTGATGTCGGGTCAGCGCCGCGCTCTGCCCGAAGCGCCGGCCGCACTCGCCACATGCGTAGGGCCGCTCCCCGGTGTGCGCTCGTCCGTGCGCCGTCAGGTGTGCGCGGCGGCTGAAGCCCGCGCCACAGACGCCACACACAAACGGCTTCTCGCCAGTGTGGCCGCGCACGTGCGCCGCCAGGTGCGAGCCGCGGGCGAAGCGCGCACCGCACTCGGGGCAAGGGAAGGGCCGCTCGCCGGTGTGCGTGCGCCGGTGGCGCGCAAGGTGCGAGCCGTATACGAAGCTCTTGCCACAGTCGGCGCACCGGTGAGGCCGCTCGCCCGCGTGGTAGCGCTGGTGCTTGGCCAGCGCCGCGCGGCGCCCGAACGTCTTGCCGCAGTCCGAGCAGATCCACGGGCTCTCCTCCTCTGCCAGTGCGGCCGGCGCAGGCTCGGCCAGCAGTCCCCCGACAGCGGGCCCGAACGTGCGCAAGCCACCTCCGCCGACCCCGGCCCCGCCGCCAAAAGGATCGCAGCCCAGCCCGGTGCCCTCCACCAGGGAGAGCGGACCCCCCAGGGGCGCCGGGAGCGGGCGCCCGTCGACCGGCAGCCGCTCTCCGAAGTCGGGCAGGCCCAGGATCGGGAAGCCATCCGGGTGTAACCAGGACTTTGGGTGCACAGGGAAATGGAAGCCCAGTGGGTGGGAGGAGGGGCCTTCGCCCTCCCCCAGGCCGTTGCCAAGCTCCAGGAAGCGCCTGTCCGGCGAGCGGTCTGCCTTGCCACTGGGGGTGGGGTTGGGCGCCACCGCCACCGCTTCCTCTCTCCCCTGGGCCGCGGCCTCTGCCTCTCCGTCTGCCTCGCCGGCTTCAGGCCGCTCCGGCCCCTCAGGCCCGGGTTCGGTGTCCTCTGTCACCGCGGCGGCGGCCGTCTCACCGGGTTCCCGCCGGGGGCCGTCGCCACCCGGCTCTGTGCAGGCCCCGCCGCGCCGGTGGCGCTGGAAATCGGCGCGCAGGCGGAAGGCCTGGCCGCAGTCGGGACAGCAGTGCGGACGGTCAGCGGTGTGCACCGCCTGGTGCCGCGCCAGCGCCGAGCTCTGGCTGAAGCTGCGGCCGCAGTGCGGGCACAGGTAGGGCCGCTCGCCCGTGTGCGTGCGCTGGTGCGTGACCAGGTAGGAGCGGCGCCCGAAGCCCGCGCCACAGAAGGCGCAGCGGTACGGCCGCTCGCCAGTGTGGATGCGTCGGTGCGTCACCAGGTGCGACTTGTAGACGAAGCGCTTACCGCAGTCCGGGCACGGAAAGGGCTTCTCGCCAGTGTGCGTGCGCTGGTGGATGGCCAGGTGCGAGCGGTACACGAAGCCCTTGCCGCACTCCTCGCAGCCGAAGGGCTTGACGGCCGCGTGGTAGCGCTGGTGCTTGGCCAGCCGCGAGCGGTGCGGGAAGACCTTGCCGCACACGTCGCACGTGGTCTCAGGCCGCCCTGACGGCGCGGCCACCGTGGCCGGGAACGCCCAGGGGGACAGCAGGTTCGCCCCCGGCTCCTGGCCGGGCAGGAAAGGCTTCGCTTCCGAGCCGTCGGCCAGGACTCCGAGGCTGCCTGGGTCAGGTCCCCACCCCTCCGGAGTCTGCGCCGAATCCGAGTCGTCGGGGCCCCACGTCCCAGGCACGTCCCCCACACCGTAGGCAGCCGACCAAAGCCCCGGGGGCTCGTTCTCCTCCTCAGCCACCTCCGCCAGGAAGTCCTCGTCGTCTTCCTCCTCGTGGTCCTCTATGTCATCCGTCCAGAACCAGGCTCCTGAAGGCGACAAAGGCCAGAAGAGATGTTAAGTGAACTTGACAGGAGCCTCTGGCAGGTTCCTGCCCCAAGAAATCAGGGCACCTGAGAGGCCCCCAGCAGGACCTCCCTCCAGGCAGACGGGGCACCTCCTTTTACCAAGTGAGCGGTGCCCATGCCCCACTGCCAGCCCTGAACAGCTGCAAAAGCAGGAAAGCCGCTGCCCCTAGCTAGGAGCCTGGGAACAAGCAGCACACGAAGGCCAGGGCTCCCATCCAATGTCTCTTCCAGACCTCCAGCTCCCTCCAGGGTTTGCCACGTGCTGAGGAAAGGGGCAAGCTCTAGGAAGGGGTGAGACCCAAAGTTAAACCCACAGTGGGGATCCTGTGCTGAGAAAATGAGGTGGAGACGCTGGAGGTCTTTTCCCGCAAAGCTCCTGGAGAGCTCTGCCTTTAGGGCCTTTCTGGAAGACAGCGCAAACGGTGGCCCCCTCTGCAGAGGACCAGCTTTTAAAAAAAAAAAAAAAAAAAAAAAAAAGACAGACTCTCGCTCTGTACAGTCACGATCTCGACTCACTGCAACCTCCGCCTCCCAGGTTCAAGCAATTCTCCCGCCTCAGCCTCCCGAGTAGCTGGGATTACAGGCTCACACAACCAACCCAGCTAATTTTTTTGTATTTTTTAAGAGATGGAGCCGGGCGCGGTGGCTCAAGCCTGTAATCCCAGCACTTTGGGAGGCCGAGGCGGGTGGATCACGAGGTCGAGAGATCGAGACCATCCTGGTCAACATGGTGAAACCCCGTCTCTACTAAAAATACAAAAAATTGGCCGGGCGCGGTGGCTCAAGCCTGTAATCCCAGCACTTTGGGAGGCCGAGGCGGGTGGATCACGAGGTCAAGAGATCGAGACCATCCTGGTCAACATGGTGAAACCCCGTCTCTACTAAAAATACAAAAATTAGCTGGGCGTGGTGGCGCGTGCCTGTAATCCCAGCTACTCAGGAGGCTGGGGCAGGAGAATTGCCTGAACCCAGGAGGCGGAGGTTGCGGTGAGCCGAGGATGAGCCGAGATCGCGCCATTGCACTCCAGCCTGGGTAACAAGAGTGAAACTCCGTCTCAAAAAAAAAAAAAAAAAAAAAAAACATTAGCTGGACATGGTGGCGCGTGCCTGTAATCCCAGCTACTCAGGAGGCTGAGGCAGGAGAATTGCCTGAGCCCAGGAGGCGGAGGTTGCGGTGAGCCGAGATCGCGCCATTGCACTCCAGCCTGGGTAACAAGAGCGAAACTCCATCTCAAAAAAAAAAAAAAAGAGATGGGGTTTCGCCATGTTGACCAGGCTGGTCTCAAACGCCTGGCCTCAGGTGATCCGCGGGCCTTGGCCTTCCAAAGTGCTGGAATTACAAACCTGAGCCAACACATCCGGCCTCTCAGCTCTAAGCTTTGCTCAGCATCCCCCATTCTGCCCCTCTTCTGCCAAGCTGCACCCTGCCCTCTCTCTGCCCTCTCCCTTTGGCCATCCGAGGTTCGTGGAGATGAAGCTGGCTCGGTGGGGCTCCTGTTGATAGCTGATAGACCTGAGACTCTGTGACACACCAGGAGGGAACTGTTGTCTCCAGAGCAGGCACTAAGTCACATGGAACGCAGGGATAATGGCTGGCCTGCAGCCCCAGATGCTCCAAGGCACCTTCGTGGCTGCTCTCTGGGACGCTCCCCAGTGTCCACCTCACAGTCAGCCTCTGGAAGGTTCCAGCTCTCACAGCTGGTGTGGGAATCTCCTCTTCACCCCACCTGGGTCCCCTGCCAAGGCACTGGCCTATTTCAGCCGTCACCTAGCTAGGTGAGCCTGGACCACTGAGTCCTGCCCTAGGGGGAATGTTAGAGCCCAGGAGGTCCCGATGAGCCTGGGCTGGCCCCTCATGTCACACACTGGCCCCTGCCAGTCTGCATGGCCTTGGCATCACTGCATCCCACATGCATTCCATATGGGAATCTAGAGCCGTGGGAAAACACAGACCCGCACAAGTCTGGCTTCACTGTACAAAATCACGCATCATGGAAGAGTAAGAAAATGGGTTACTTCATCTTTCACACTTTGTGATACTTTTGCAGTTTACTATTATAGTAAACGTAAGCTTGAAATAATAGAAAAAGGTTTCCTGTCACTAAGTTGAGTCTACCTCAAACTGCCACCCACAGCCACTCTGTGCACAGAGCAGCAAAGAAAAGCCCAGTCCCCCTCACTGGTCTCCCTTCCCCCTTTGGCAGCAATGCTCCCCGGGTCTGGGAAGGCTGCTGGACCCCAGCCCTATGCCCCAACCCTACAGGTCAGGGAGGCTGGCAGAGGGCCAGGCAGTTGGAGCCGATGGACAGATGGAAAGGATCTGATCTTCAGGCTCTGATTCGGGTCTTGGGTTTAAGAGTCCCCACCAAATAGGGAAGGTTCAATCCTAGGAACAACTATGACTTTGTAGCAGGGTGCGTCGACACCTCAGGAGCCAGCCAAGACTCAGTGAACATTTGCTGGATAATAGGCCTCAAAGCGCTGGATCCCCCCAGGCCAAGTGTGGCCTTGCCCGCCACAGTCTTAGCTGTGCGGAGCTGGGAGACAGGGCCAGGTCCCAATGGCTCCTCCCAGCATCTCTCCCTGGATCCTTAGGACCGCAGGGAAGCCTCTCACTTGGGGAGGTAGGCGGGGAACTCCTCTCCCAGTGGGCTCTGTAGAGAGGGCACCTCTCACCAGCTCTATAGCTGGCAAAGCCACTTGTCCAACAATTGGGACAAGGATGGGCCACACCCAAGCATACTGCACAATGACAGGGGCCACCACTGATACCAAGTGTGGATGGGGAAGGGCATCCAAGTCCCTGGGAAGTCAGAGCTGGCTGCACTCTGAGGAGAGCTCCCAGGAAGGAGCAGGGTCCCTGGGAAGGGCCCCAAAGGGAGACCAGCTTGCCCCAGGCCAGGCTCTGTTGGAAGTGGATGGGAACAGCCTGGAGTGAGGGTGTCTAGCTAACAGGACTCCAGGGACAAGGCCCCGAGGGTGTTTGCTGGCTCTTAGATCCAAAGCCCTTTTTCAGATCTAAGTGAGGCCTCATCACAGCTCAACTCACCAGACTCAAGCCAGAGTGACCGCTGGCTGACTAGGAGGGGCTGGCACGTGTTTCTCAACAGCTGGATGGCAATGGGCCAGGAACCATGTGCCAGCAGCCCAGGGCGCCCAACATACCTGCTTCCTCCAGAACCCAGGGGACAGCAGAGAAGAGGAGAACCCTGGGGCTGGTGGTCTCTCTCCCCTGTACTTCATATTTAGGCCTAAGGACTCTGACCTTGGGCAACATTTGGCTAGGCTTCTGGGAAGTTCCCGAGGGACCACATGGCTCAGGGATAAAAAGCAGAGGCCAATCAGAGGCTCAAAGTCAGCTGTCTGGGGAGGGAGAAGTTTCCAGAGTGTGGCCACGAGGACCTTCACAGCCTGTCCTGAACTGGGAACACTAAAACCCCCCTATGCAGCAGCAGGTGACAGAAGCTGATGGAGGGGGAGACCACCCCAGCAGGCTGGGTGCCAAGGGAATGAATTAAAGGCCTTAGAGCTGGGGATGTCACAAGAACAATCTCTTCCCCCTTCCTTCCACAGGCATCAGCACCGGGCACAGCTGCTCCCTAGCTGAGTGGCTTCTTTAGAGGATTCCCCTCGAAATCTTAATGCTGAGATGTTCCTCAAGGGCTCACCACTCCACTGCGCCCACCACAACAACTCCTACAGCCTGAAGCCCTGCATCTGCTCCGTTCACCAGGACTGCAGGGGCCAGGCCGGGCCCTTCACCATCTTTCCCTTGGCTTCACCTCAAGAGGCAGCTGGGGCGCTCGGGCTCTGCCTGGGTGTGAATTCCACTCCTATGATGCACTGGCCATGGGACCTTGGGCAAGACATTTAATCTGAGTTTCCCCATCTGAAAAATGGGTTGGTAACAGCACCTGCAATCCACTTGGTGGGACTGTAACAAGGTTGACATGCACAGCCGTAAACACCTACAGTGGCACCTCCACTGCTCCCAGGGTCAGGTGGTACCGCTGCCACCATGGGTCCCTGGAGAGGCTGAGGCCCCCTGCTGTCTATCCCATGCTTTCTGTTGGTCATCGCTTGAGTTGTTCCCCAAATGTCAGGCGATGCTCCCTTCCTGCCATCAGGCACCGGTGGTCACAGATCCCCACCAAGACGTTTCCTCATGGAGGCTGGGCCAGTCCCTAACCCTAGAGAGGCCCCTAGCCAGCCCTGTGCCCCAGCGGCAGGCTGCCTCCTGGACTGGACAGGAGGGGCGGGGCACCCTCCAGACCACACTTAGGGCCCTTCTGCTCATCAGTGGCTGGTTCTACACCAAGGCCCTCAGGGAGGCCCTGGATGCACAAAGGTCCCTGCACCCAGGAGGGGGTCACCTGTGCCACCAAAGCTGGGCATTACCCAGAATCAGGAGGGGTGTCACTTGCACCACCAAAGCTGTGCATTACCCAGAATCCTACCAACACAACAGCAGGCGCTCCAGCTTCTGTCCCTGGACCCTGGTTTAACTGTGCAGGAGGCAGCGATAATCCCAGGGGCCAACCAATGTCCCTAGCAGCAGAGCCCCTGGAACACAGGGAGGGTGTCCTATGTAGAATACTAACCAAAGGGGCTGTGGGGAAGACAGTGGCCCTATACCCACAGGCCTGGCCCACACAGAAGACACGGTCCCAACCTGCCATGGGACCTTACACACACCTAACATCACCCAGGGATACTGCTCAGTGCACCAGGCTGCCACCATCTACAACTCCCACCCCTGGGCAACGTGTGCCCATCTGGGAGCCCAGAACTTGCCCTCCAGCCCCAACCTGACCCGGACCCCCCACAGCAAGTTCACAAGGTGGGCTGACTGAACAGCACCGTGTCTCTCCCTCTGAACCCACGCTGGGGCCCGACCTGGCGTGCAGGCTGTGGAAGTCGGTTCCGAGTAAAGCCAACACCTGCTCCCTCCCCTCACCCAGTCAGTGTAACCTGCTCCATCCAGACACAAACTCCAGATGGCCTTAGGGAGAGACCCTCCCTCAAGGGGGACAGTCACAAATGGAGGTGGAGGACAAGGATGGCATGCCTAAGTCCACAGGCATCAGCAGCCCTCCCTTCTGCAAACTGTCAGGGAGATGAGGATGCCGCTGGCCCCACACACAACAGTGTGGGAGAGGCAGGGCTCTCAGGCTCAGCTTCTGCACTGGGATCTGAACCAGCTGTGTGACCCTGGCCAGGCTGCCAGGTCTGTAAGGAGGGGTCCTCCTCTGAGGATAGGTACTGGGCCTGCCCCTTACTAGGGCAGGTGACCTCAGAAGAGCTAGTCTGCAGTGGCTGAGGGGGTCCATCTCAGGGAGTGGAAAGGCAGCCCCACTGGGGTACAGGGCTGACCCACCAGGCCAAGGCCACTGGCAGCCACATAAGGCCTGCTGGCACCCACAGGCACAATTTTCTCCAGCACATTCTTGCTCCAGTGCAGACCAGAGCCAGTGGAAAATGGGGTTCAACCAAGGTGGGGATCTAAGCCGGGTAAAGAGAAAGGCAGGATGGGGGAGAGGCAGGAGAGGGGAACCGTGGAGCCATGGCTGAAAGGTAGGCCAAGGCTTCAGCAGCCCTTGAGAGGGGTGGGCCCTAATGAGGGCAGTGCCAGAGCCCAGACATCATGTGTGGCCCAATTCATCAAGAAACCTAAGAGAGGAACACACTTGGGCCTTGCAGACTCCAGTCTAGAAACAAAACTGTCAGCCTGGAGTTGAAGGAGCAGAGCCAGACCTGGGCCTGAGGCTTCCCGGGAAATCCACCACCCTGAACACCTTCTGCACCCATCACTCCAAAACCTCCTCTCCAGAATGCCCCAAACTGCTCACCCCAGTCAGAGTCCTGCCTGCAGTGCTCTAGGGAGAACAGGGAAGGCTGAGGGGAGCCTTTTCCCAGACACGGCCAAGTGGGCCGAGAAGCAGGAGGACTGGCTAGCATCAGAAAAGCCTCCACAATGGTGTGCTGGGCTCCCGCTCCTGCCCTGGCTGAGCCAACCACCTGACAGCTGGCCCCTCACATGCAAAGAAATTCACAGGCTCCAACACAGGGCAGGGAATCTTTTTTTTGGATTGTTTTTGGGTTTTTTTGTTTTGTTTTTGAGACAGGAGTTTTGTTCTTGTTGCCCAGGTTGGAGTGCAATGGCACGATCTCGGCTCACTGCAACCTCCACCTCCTAGGTTTAAGTAATTCTCTTGTCTTGGCCTCCCGAGTAGCTGGGATTACAGGCATGTGCCACCACACCCAGCTAATTTTGTATTTCTAGTAGAGACGGAGTTTCTCCATGTTGGTCAGGCTGGTCTCAAACTCCTGACCACAGGTGATCTGCCCACCTTGGCCTCCTAAAGTACTGGGATTACAGGCGTGAGTCACCATGCCCAGCCAGGGAATCATTTTTAAAGGTTCCTAGAAGGAGCTTCTAGCTTGTCTAAGGACCTTACAGCCCTCAGACCTCTCTGGAACTTGAACCACCAGGAGCCACGCAGCAAAGGCAGAGGTTGGCACAGGACAGCCACCCCATGTCCACAGAGCACCCCTCAGCACAGATAGTCAGAGACACAGTCAGAGGCAGCAGATACCAGGTCTGCAGAGAACTCCGTGAAGGCCAATGTTTGATAACAGCTCTGAGTAGCTGTTGGCATAAACCACAAAATTCCATCACACACTCACCTGTGTAGACACCAGTGACGATGTCTCCTTCCTCCGGTCGGGGGCTATCTGGGACCCAAGGTTCTTCCCCTTGTTCCAGCCGGAAGATCAAATCGGGCTTGGGGATTGGGTATCCTGCCAGGAGATCAGACACTGGCTGCAGGCAGTTCTCCTGGACCCTCTGCTGCCCTTCGGCCTGGGCTGCGCCACCGCTCAGCGCCCCCCACCTCTACCTGCCCCGGCAGCAGCCCTCCCCACCCTTCCCTGCTCCAGAGGATCCAGGTGGTCCTTTCCCTCTGAACCTTTCCCTGTCCTCCCCTGCTCTCGTCCCAAGTCCCCCCAACACCTTCCACTGCAAGATGCCCACACCCCTTCTCCTCCCTCACCCACCTCCTCATCCCGGAGGCTTCAGGGGCCATGCAGCAGAGACCAGAGCCAGACTGCCTACACAGAGGTGCCACCTGGCTCAGGGCGCTGCCTGGCCAGTGCAGCCCTAGGACATCCCCCACCCTCCCCAGAGCCCATGGGGTCCTAGGGCTTCCCTGGGAGGTGGGTTGGCCCCAGCATACACCTTTGCAAAGACCCTGGGATTTGAAAACCTCCCCCATCAGACAGCCAAGGCCCTGGCAGCCATCATACCAGGCTGCCTCTTGAGGACAAAAGATCCCATCCTTACCCAAGGACACTAGAATCCCATAGTTCTCCTGCATGACTTCCTGGTAGAGGCCCCGCTGGTCTGCCTCCAGCCTCTCCCACTCTTCCAGGGAGAAGTACACAGCCACGTCTTCAAAGGTCACCAGCCCCTGGGAAACAGAGCCACAGGTGAGAGGCTGAGGGAGCCCTTTACAGACAGCCACAGAAGATTCAGGCCACTGAGACCCTCCAGTGTGGGTGTCAAGGGGACACAGAGGCCCAGATGGCACTGGAGGTATTCAGGCCTTGCCACAGCCCTGGGAAACAGGAACCTAATCCCAGCCAGAGACTGGGGATTCAAGCTCAAAGAGGGTGAATGACCCAGCTCATAGAGCAGAGCTGTGGCTCACATAAAGGTAAGGAGACAGTGAGCCCCACCCCCAGTCCCCCTCTTCACGAAGTCCGCCTTGAGCCACTGCAGTGGCCATGTCGGCCATGGAGGGCCCACTCCTAGGTGGACAAGCAACAGCAACTAAACTGGGTGTGGCCACTGGCGCCCAACCTGACTGGGCAGCAGGAAACCAGACCTTGGACATGTGACAGGCACTCCAGGTGAGGGAGTGGCCAGCCTTGGGAGAGAGCCAGGCCTCTGAAGTCACCGTGCACAGTGCTGTTGAGTGGGTGGCAGCCAAAGCGATCAGGACAACCCAACAGCTGGGAGGGGCCAGGCTCCACAAGAGCAGGACCACAGCCCCGGGCTTGGGGCTGGATACCCAACCGCTTCCCGCAGCCCCCTCCCAGCTCAGGGCCTGGGCTCAGCCTGGGGATTCCAGTGCTGTGGCCTCTGCCAACACAAGTCTCCAGAGAGCAGGTGCCAAGGTCCCAGGGGAAACCCTGCCTGGGTTACCCAAGCCCCAGACAGAGAGGGCAGCTCACCTGAGACCCAGCCGTCAGCAAATCATCCTCATCCTCATCCTCCTCGTCCTCCTCGTCCTCCTCGTCCTCCTCCTCCTCCAGGTCCTCATCCCTAGGAGTGACTGGAACCTGGGCGACCTGCAGGCCTATGGGGAGAGACCTCTGAGGGCCAGCGGCCCTAAGCCCCTGGCCTGCAGGGCCAGAAGCCCCAACGAAACCCTCACTGCAAAGCCAGGCTCCATCCTGTCCGCCCAAGAGCCCTCCCTGGCTTGACCAGGTCCCTGGCCTGGCCCACCCCAGCTCCCTTCACCTTCTCCCTAAGGCTGGCTGCTTTTCTTACCCTTTTCCTCCAGAACTGGGGACTTGGCATGACCACCATGGCTAAGTCGTTCCTGGGTCCCCAACGTTGGATGCTGCTCCTCTGTCAGCACCTCCTCCACGTCCTCGTCCTCCTCCACGTCTGCCTCCACCTCCACCTCGGCCACCTCCTCCACCTGCGCGTCCTCCACCACCTCTGCCACAGCCGCCTCCTCCTCTTCCACCACTATCTCCTCCTCCTCCTCTTCTACCTCCTGTGCCTCTTCCCCTTTTTCCTCCTCTTCCTCCTCTTCCTCCTGGTCAAGGTCACACTCTGACCCATCCTCTGCCCGTTCCAGCTGGGCAGCTGGGGAGTCAGGAGTCGTGTGGAGCGCCGCCATCCTCCCTGGGAGCGAGCCTCCGCGCGGCCTGAAACGCAGATAGCCACCAGTGATGGGCTGTTCTCAGCATACCATACGGGTCCCCTCATAGGGTCTCCTACAGCCTCGGGGGCACGGGGAGCAGAATTTACTCCTCCTGTTATGTAGTTGAAGGCAACAGAGATGAGGGAGGACCAGGCTTTCCCACAGTCTTACCCTGTACCACCAAGACATTCCGTGCCCAGAAAAGCAGCCCCAAAAGTCCAAAGCCCCTCCGCGTGACCCCGGGATGCCAGTCTCAGCTCTTTTTCACAAGAACTGTGTGCATGGTGTGAACTGCTGCTCTTTCCTTGAGTAAATCAGGCATTTATCCCAGAGTCTTTATCCCCAGGGAAGTATCACACGGCCCGAGGGTGGCCGGTGTTTAGCTGGGGGGGCCAAGCTTAGCCAAAAGGAAAAGCCCACATGATACACAGGACAAAGAGACGCTTACCTCGTCCTCAACACACATGAACCAGGCCAGCAGGGAAGCAAAAGAGCTCTCAGCACAGACAGGCTACAGGCACTTGTAAGGCACGACGGGGCTGGGAGAAGAGAGAGGCGCCAGGAAGCCGGCAGGTCAGGCTCCTTCCTGCAGGACACGGGAGAGCAGGGGCCATGAGCCAGCATCACCCTGGTGTGTCCTCAGCCCTCGCTCTGTGAAAGGCACAGTGCGTGGTGGAGACCCATCACTGGCCCATCAGGAGGACAGGAAATGCCCTGTGACATTTCAGGTTTGGGGATCAGACACTCCTAAGAGCTGAGTTGCCAAAGCCCCAGTGGCTACAGGGTCTACTCTCCCACTGACATCAGGGACAGCTCAGCCCAAAAGCTCAGAGGAGAAGCAACCACACTGACACAGGGTCCAGGGCCATGGACACAGCAGGATGGGAGCTGCTGGCCCTGGGACCTCTCGCCCCTCCCAGTTGCACATCCTTCACCAGCCCCTGTGGGATCCCAAAGGGCAGGGCAGAGTCACAGCGTTGATGAGTCTATTTCTGGGACTCCTTTCTGGGTATAAACCTGAGACAAGGCCCATCACCCAGGACACGCACCATCAGTGTCTCTGGCCCGAACAGAGCCATTTCTAAAGCGAGCCAAGCCCAGAATCCAGGGGGTGAAGGCGTGAGCCCCAGAAGCTTTCTGGAATGTCAGGCCACTTGGCGACACAGAGCACTGGGCCTGGCCCAGCTCATCCAGCTCTAGCAGTGGACAGTGTCTGCCACAGAACTCCTAAAACAAGACCGACTGCCCTTGGCGAGAACAGTCCAGATGACCACACCTGGTGTTCTTATGGACACGGACACGGGAAAAAGCTGCTCCACAATTAACTCTCCCTCTGTACCCATCACTTCTCCACCAATTAGGCAGCTGCATTAGGCCGTTTCCGCATTGCCATGAAGGAATACCTGAGGCTGGGTAAGTCATAAAGAAAAGAGGTTTAATTCACTTACGGTTCTACAGGCTGCACCAACATGGCGCCAGCACCTGCTTCTGGGGAGGACCTCAGGAAGCTTCCACTCATGGAGGGAGGCAAAGGGGAAGTGAGAGAGAGGGAGGAAGACCCAGACTCCTTTAAAACAACCAGATCTCTCATGAACTGAGAACTCCCTTGCCACCAAGGGGATGGCACTAAACCATTAATGAGGGATCCGCCCCCATGAGCCAGTCACCTCCCACCAGGCCCACCTCCAACACTGGAAATCACACTTCAACATGGGATTGGAAGGGGACAGAGAGAGCCTGGATGTTTGCCCTGACCCAAATCTCACGTTGAACACTCATCCCCAATGCTGGAAGTGGGGCCTGGTAGGAGGTGACTGGCTCATGGGGGCGGATTCCTCAGGAATGGCTTGGGCCATCCCCTTGGAGACAGTGAGTAATGAGTGAGTGCTCGCTCTGAATTCACAGGACATCTGGTGTATGGCGCCTCCCCACTCACTCACTCTTGCTTGTTCCTGTTTTTGCCATGTGACATGCCTACTTCCCATCACCTTCCACTATGATTAAAGGCTTCCTTGGCTCAAGCCTGTAATCCCAGCACTTTGGGAGGCCGAGGCGGGCGGATCACGAGGTCGAGAGATCGAGACCATCCTGGTCAACATGGTGAAACCCCGTCTCTACTAAAAATACAAAACATTAGCTGGGCATGGTGGCGCGTGCCTGTAATCCCAGCTACTCAGGAGGCTGAGGCAGGAGAATTGCCTGAACCCAGGAGGCGGAGGTTGCGGTGAGCCGAGATCGCGCCATTGCACTCCAGCCTGGGTAACAAGAGCGAAACTCCGTCTCAAAAAAAAAGGCTTCCTGAGGCCCCCTAGAAGCCAGGCAGATGCCAGCACCATGCTTCCTGTACAGCCTGGAGAACCATGCACCAATTTCACCTCTTCTTTACGAAGTACCCAGTCTCAGGTATTTCTTTAAAGCAATTGTGAGGACAGCCTAACACACGGACAGACACCCAAACCACATCAGCTGCACATACTCGTTTCCTAAACTGCTTTGAGCAGCTGCTTTAAATCCACACTTTAATAGCCAGGAAGCTCTGAGCATTCACACAGGCTCACTCAAGTCAAGGGCTGGGACACACAGGCATCCAGAAACCACCTCTGTCCCAAAAGTCACATGTGCCCCCCTCACTGGCTCCAGCACCGTTTCTAGTTTCAGAATCACTGACCCCAAAGACTTGGGTCACAGAACTACGCCTGGGAGCGCCACCCCAACCACCAGCCTCTCCCAGAAGCCGGCTTCCTCAGTGTCCACAGCTCTTTGGTGTGTGAAGATGCCCGCAGTGTTGAAATCTATGTGCTACGTGTTATGCTAGCCACCTCCAGGAGGATTCAGCCCTGCCCAGCACTCAGGGCACTGGGAACACTCAGCAATAATTTCCCAACTGCCACCCACTGGAGGCCCAGAGGAAGGCTTTTCTCAGTCAGGCCTCAGGCTGCAGATTCAGGCAGGGCCTAGGTGCCATGCCAAGCCCAGCAGAGCTGTCTCCTGCCTAGCCACCACCTGAAGCAACAACTTTAAACTCCCAGAGCCAGGGCACCATACATGAGGACACAACAAAAGAAAACTTCACGGCTTTGGAATAAAGTGGCCCCATGTTCATCCCATCTCAGGACCTGTGTGTGCGCTGTTCTCCACCCCCAGAACTTTCTTCCCCTCTTCCTGGGTGATCTTCCGAGGCAGCCCCTTGGGCCCCAGGGGGTGACATGGTTCCCTGTAATTCTGCCCTCGCAGCATGCACCACATTTTAAAAATACACTTATGAGACTGTCTTATGATCTCTCTCCCTGCATATGGTCAACTCCAGGGCGGCAACAGCTCCCTTTGCTCGCATCTGAAAGAAGCATTCAAATACTTACTGAAAGAATGACTCTAAAGTCAACAGCCAATGTGAGGGACATAGGATTTTTTACACTCAGCATTTTGGCCCTACTGTCCTGTTCCAGAACAGACTGATCACTGCTGGGGTCGGGCAGTCGGGGGGATCCTTCCAATTGGAACTCACCCAGAAGCAGTGGAAAGTCTCTGCCTCCAAAGAGGACACCGAGTTAAGTCCTTTCTCCTAAGAGGTCCACCCACTGATGACCAGAGAAGATGGAGGATCAGCTCCCACAGAGTTCAGCACCACAGCCAGACATCACCCCAACCCAAGATTCAGAACAGAATGCTTTGAAAAACGGACCTCAGCGGGCCGGACAGAGTTTAGATTCCAGCAACTCGCCCTGGGTTGTCTCTGCCTAGCCCAGGTCCGCACTCTTCCCCTCCTCTTGCTAGCCTATCGGCCGCTGTAAACACTGCTCACCTCTCCCTCTGCATCCAACTCTGGGTCAGAGGCCACAGGGGGCCTCATCAACGTCATCTCAAACCTCAAACTCCCGAACTTAGAAGATCCACCCGACCTCCGCCTTCCAAAGTGCTGGGTTTACAGCCGTGAGCCACTGAGCGGGCCCCAAATCCTCATTTCTACCAGGGCCCTGTACTCTAGGATATGGTGCTGCAGACAACATTTAGAGTCGAAGGTGACAAGGCACCTTCCAAGAGGAGCAGGGAGGGAGGCAAGGACAGGAGAAGAGGCAAAGCTTAAAAGTGGATAGAAATTCTCCACAAAAGCCCCAAAGCCAGGGAAACCGAACTCGGAGAGTGGGAGGAGACATGTGGGTACACTTGTGACTAGTCCCCTTCATTCCCTCTGGGTACCACCCCCCGACCTGCCCTCCGAGTCCTTCGGGTCTTCATGCCCTCCTGGAGGTCCTCCTTCCCCAACCACAACAGTCCTCACTATCTGTCCTCGGATCCTGGATCACCCTACTCTCCTGGGTTTGCTCCTGGGGCAGGTATTTCCAAGGGGGCCATCCCAAGTCCCCCAGGGTAGCCCCTCACCACCCCACTAGGCTCCGGAGATCGGCCCACATTTGTTGAACCAAACCAAGCACCAAAATCTCCCCACACAAGCAGAGCTGGGGGACTGACCCTCCTGGTACCTGCACTTCCCCTTGCCCATCAGGTTCTCCACCAGAGGCCAGCCCCTTTCCTACCTCTGATGCCACGCGGGACAGCCCAGAACCCATCCAATCCTAGGGACAGGTGTCCCTACCCACCTGCCAGCAGCAGAAGACGGCCGAGCAGCCCACGGGGGCTCCTTCTGCAGAGAAGGGTAAAGCCCAGACAAGGCCCCCAAGGTCACAAAACGGGCTACTGGGGCGACGGCCTCCCGCCTCCCGCCCCGCAGGGGGCGTCCAGAGTCTCCGCCTCCTGCAGAGACCCAGACGGTGACAGCCCCTCCTGGATGGGTGTGTCCCGGGGGCGGCCGGGGCCCAGCCACTGTCGCTGCGGCCGAGAAGGCGTGGGCAGGCACCCCAAGGTGTCGCGCGTAGCCTCCCCGGCCTGCACCCTCAGCCTCCTGCCTGGACCCGCCCCGGGGGTCGGCGCCCGCCCGCAACGCGCAGGCCCGAGCGAGGGTCCGGGAGGCGGGGGCGCTGCCGCTGAAGGCCTGACCCGAGGTCTGCTCCGGACCCTCAGACTCCGGCCCCGCCGCCTCCCCGCGGCCTCCCCGCGCCGGGCGTCGAGGGCCAACCGGGCCCCGCCGCCGCCGCCGCCGCCGCCGCCCCCGGGCGTGAGCCCGGCCCGCCCGCACCTGCCACCCGCGCCGCCGCGCACTGGCCCCGCGAGACCCACTCACCGCGCGAGCCGGGCTGGCCAAGCCGCGGGCCGGACACCGGGGCTGGGGCCTGCTGGACGGCGGCGGGCCCCGCGCTACACAAAGTGACGGCCCGGGAGCTGCGCGGCGGCGGCGCGTGGGCACCGGAAGTGCCGCCGGCCAGCCCCGCCCCGCCCGTGCCCGCGGGGGGAGGAACTTCCGGTCACGCGGGGGCCACGGCGTTGGAGCTGGGAAGCGCGGGTTGGAGGGGGCCGGCCCAGCTGAGCCTCCGGCCGTGCGAGGACTGGACGTGTGGGGGGGGGGGACCGGGGCGCCCTCGACACTCGTGGGGCGCCCATGACCTCGCCCCGCTTCTGGACACCTCGGTGACCTCGAGGTCTTGCCGCGGCGACCATCGCCTTCCCGGAACCCCGGCCCAGCCTCGTTCATCAACGGGCGCCCGCTGAGGACCCGGACCCGCGCTGGGCCCTCTCCGAGCGTCCACGGGGCCTATCCTGGACTCCAGGACGGTGGAGGGAGGCGACGACCCCTGTGGTCGGGAGAGGGTCAGGTGTCCACGCCTCCGCCAGACCCCGGGCCCGAATGGGGTGACCGTCTTGTGGGTGAGGAGGGCGGAGGGACGGGCAGAGGACTCGCGGGTAGGGTGGGCTGTGGCAGCTGAGTGCAGGAGGGGCCTGGGGTTGTGGAGCCCTCACTTGGAGGGACGTGGAGTCACCGGCAGGGAAGCGATTATGCAGGCAGAGGGAATGGTCAGTGTAAGGGCAGAAATGACAGGCGACCCTAGGAGCCTGGGGAGGGGTCAGTGCACTCAGCGGCCACCCCCAACCCTGTCTGCATCTCCTCCCAAGGGTTGCAGCTGGGGGCTGAGGATGAGCTCTGGCATCGGTGAAGTCCGAGGTCTGTCTTCGGCCTGGAATGGTGTGGCCCAGGCCCCTTTCCCAGCTTCCAGCCCGCCTGCAACATTGTTCTTGGTGCTTTTCTGTGAGGGCCCCAGGCCTGACTGGGCAAGAGATAGAGGAGGACCCTGCCGGGCACAGTGACTCATACCTGTAATCCCAGCACTTTGGGAGGCCTTGGTGGGCAGATCATGAGGTCAGGAGTTCAACATGGTAAACCCCCGTCTCTACTAAAAATACAAAAATTAGCTGGTCCTGGTGGCATGCACCTGTAGTCCCAGCTACTTGAGAGGCTGAGGAAGGAGAATAATTTGAACCCGGGAGGTGGAGGTTGCAGTAAGCTTTGACCGTGCCACTGCACTCCAGCCTGGGCAACAGGGCGAGACTCCGTCTAAAAAAAAAAAAGGGGGGGGGAGGAAGACTCAAACCTTCGTCCCACAGAGGGGTGCAGCCCTAACCCCTTGAATCAAACCCCTAACAGTGATGTTGCTTGGCTCCTGGTGTTTTAAAATGTCTTAAGGTTAATATAATAACATTTAAAAGTTAAGAGTCCCACTCTTGTAAAAAAAAAAAAAAAAAGAAAAGAAAGAAAAAAAAAGAAAGTAAGAAAGAAAAACTAGGCCCTAATGCATGGTCTCATACCTATAAATTCAGCACTCTGGGGGGCCAAGGTGGGTCACACCTGTAATCCCAGCACTTTGGGAAAAGAAGGCCAGAGGATCGCTTGAGCCCAGGAGGTCGAGACTGCAGTGAGCTATGATTGTACCACTGTACTCCAGCCTGGGCAACAGAGTGAAACCCCGTCTCTAATAATGAGTAAAATTTGAAAAATCAGAAGTTCTGGCAACACAAGGCCCCTGGTTTGCAGCACACCAGCCAGTACAGCCTGAGAAGTAAGCAGCCACTGTGGGTGGGACTGGGCATGGCCATAGCCCTCAGTGCCTACCACTCCCTGTCCCCTTCCTCCAGGCCGGTGTCCGAATGACACTGCCTGACTGTCCTGTGGGTATCTAAGTTTTTGAATCCTCAATCCCTAGATTAGACCCTTCCCCACCCTACCTGATCTGTCTGGTTCCGCAGGAAGGCGCATTTGCCCCCAGGCGCTTCCCAGGAAAGGCTCTGACTATAGGACAATTAAGCAAAAGCAGTGTCATGGTTTGGCTGTGTCCTTACCCAATTCTCATCTTGGATTTTGGTTCTGATTCTCACGTTTCATGGAACGGACCTGGTGGGAGGTAATTAAATCATGGAGGCTGTTCCCCTCATGCTCTTCTCATGTTAGTGAGTTACCATGAGATCTGATGTTTTCATAAGGGGGTTTTCCCTTTTGCTCCACACTTCTCCTTCCTGCTATCATGTAAAGAAGGAAGTGTTTGCTTCCCCTTCTGCCATGATTGTAAGTTTCCTGAGGCCTCCCCAGCCGTGTGGAACTATGAGTCAGTTTTTTGCCAGGGGGAGGGGGGGTTGTTTTTTGTTTTTAGACAGCGTCTGGCTCTGTTGCCCAGGCTGGAGTGCAGTGGCACCATCTCAGCTCACTGCAACCTCCACCACCCAAGTTCAAGCAATTCTCCTGCCTCAGTCTCCCTAGTAGCTGGGATTATAGGTGCCTGCCACCACACCTAGCTAATTTGTGTATTTTTAGTAGAGACGGGGTTTCACCATGTTGGTCAGGCTGGTCTCGAACTCCTGATCTCATAATCCACCTGCCTTGGCCTACCAAAGTGCTGGGATTAGTCATGAGCCACTGCACCCAGCCCTGTGAGTTAGTTAAACCTCTCCTTTGTAAAGTTCCCAATCTTGGGCAGTTCTTTATAGCAGCGTGAAAACAGACTAATACACCAGGTAAATTGAAGCAGCTGGAATGTGAAGGCACCAGGCCTTTGCCACCGTTAGCCCTACAGGAACAGGAAAGGGCAGGATGTTGTCAAGCCTGGAGGGAGGTGGAGGTAAAAAGAGGGGTTCATCTGGTGGGCACTGTGATTATGGAGGGACAGCGTGGGGGGCAAGAGAGTTCCCTAACCTTGCCCTTCTGCACCCTGTCACCTTCCAGTGCTGCCCATGGCCCAAATCCACCTATAATGTGGAGGGCAAGGGACCCCAGGGGAGAAGGAGGGTGTATAACGGAGAGTCAACAGCTCCATCCCAGCCTTAGGACCCTCCACCCTGTGAGGCAGGGATCCCAAATCACCCCAGCATCTCCTTGGATCTCCTCTTATCTTGTCCTGACGTGATACTTAATCCGAGACTCAATTTCTTTCTCTACCTCGTCCACAAATAATTTCTTTTCCTTTCTTTTTTCCTTCCTTTCCTCTCTTCCTCCTTCCTCCCTCCTTCCCTCCCTTTCTTCCTTCCTTTCTTTCTCTTTTTCTTTTTCTTCTCCCTCCCTCCCCTTCCCTTTCTGTTCTTTCTTTCCCTTTCCTTCCCTTTTTCCTTTCCTTTTCTCTCCCCTTCTCTTTCCTTCCTTTCCGTTCCCTTCCCTCCCCTTCCCTTCCTGTCCTTTCTCTTCCCTTTGTCACCCAGGCTAGAGTGCAGTCGTGTGATCATAGCGCTGCTGCAGCCTTGACCTAGGCTCAGGTGATCCTCCTGCCTCAGCCCCCTGAGTAGCTGGTACCACAGGCACGTCCCACCCATGCCTGGCTCATTTCTTAATTATTAATATTTGCAGAGATGGTGTGTCCCTTTGTTGCCCGTGCTGGTCTCAAATTCCTGGGCTCAAGTGATCCTCCCACCTCAGCCTCCCAGTGTGCTGGGATTACAGGCGCGAGCCATCTCGCCTGCCCCACCAGTGATTTTTGCTTCTTGCTCCAACAGCACTGCTGAGGGACTGAGGAGATGGAGGGGAGGAAGGAAGCTGGTGGGGCTTAGGTGTCCTTGGCCTTGGGGAAATGCGGGACCAGCCCTGGGCCACCTGCCTTAGGATGCCTTGGACCTGAGGACAGTTGGTTTTCATAAACTGTAGTTTAGTTGGACCTTCCAGTCACTCACTACTGAACTCGGTCTTGATAGATTTCCCCAAATTCATTTGAAGAAAGAAGTAATTAAAAAACAGGCCGGGTTTGGCGCATGCCTGTAGTCCCAGCACTTTGGGAGGCTGAGGTGGGAGGATAACTTAAGGCCAGGAGTTTGAGAGTAGCCTGGCAACATAACAAGACCCTGTTTCTACACAAAATTTTTAAAAATTAGCTAAGTGCCGTGGCTCACGTCTGTAATCCCAGCACTTTGGGAGGCCAAAGCAGGAGGATGACTTGAGCTTAGGAATTCAAGACCAGTCTGGGCAATAGAGTGAAACCCTGACTCTACTAAAAATTTAAAAATTAGTTGGGTGTGGTGGTGCATGCCGGCTACATGAGGCTGAGGTGGGAGGATTGCTTGAGCCCAAGAGGTTGAAGCTGCAGTGAGCTATGATCGCACCACTCCAGCCTGGGTGACAGAGGAAGACTGTCTCCAAAAATAAAATAGCCGGGTGCAGTGGCTCACGCCCGTAATCCCAGCACTTTGGGAGGCTGAGGTGGGTGGATCAGCTGACATCAGGAGTTTGAGACCAGTCTAGCTAACATGGTAAAACGTGAAACCCCATCTCTACTAAAAATATAAAAACTAGCTGGGCATAGTGGCACGTGCCTGTAATCCCAGCTATTCAAGAGGCTAAGGCAGGAGAATCACGAACCTGGGAGGCAGAGGTTGCAGTGAGCCCAGATTGTGCTATTACACTCCAGCCTGGATGACAGAGAGAGACTCCATCACAAAAATAAATAAGGCCGGGTGTGATGGCTCACGCCTGTAATCCCAGCACTTTGGGAAACAAAGGCAGGCGGATCACCAGAGGTCAGGAATTCAAGACCAGCCTGGCCAACATGGTGAAACCCCATCTCTACTAAAAAAAAAATCTATATATATGGCCGGGCGTGGTGGCTCAAGCCTGTAATCCCAGCACTTTGGGAGGCCGAGGCTGGTGGATCACGAGGTTGAGAGATCGAGACCAACCTGGTCAACATGGTGAAACCCCGTCTCTACTAAAAATACAAAAAATTAGCTGGGCATGGTGGTGCGTGCCTATAATCCCAGCTACTCAGGAGGCTGAGGCAGGAGAATTGCCTGAACCCAGGAGGCGGAGGTTGCGGTGAGCCAAGATCGCGCCATTGCACTCCAGCCTGGGTAACAAGAGCGAGACTCCGTCTCAAAAAAAAAAAAAAAAAAAATCTATATATACAAAAATTAGCTGGGCATGATGGTGGATACCTGTAATCCCAGCTACTCA